CATTTTCTAACTCTTTTTGAGAGTGAATATGTCTCACTTTTTAAGTAGGGGAACTAATAGGAGCCATTCATTAAAAATGGATAATACTCACCCATCGGTGATATTGGGAGTATAGATGGTCTTTATTTTATTCTTTATATTAGCTTGAGCCTCATATGAAACTGTTTTCTGTAAGAAAAATAATGGCTACATGTAGGCACTTTTCTATCATTCAAGCTACTACTTTTAGTATTTTAAGAAAGTTCTGTAGGGATTATGCCACTTGTTCACCTAAGTTCCTCGAAGGTCTCCTATTAACGGGATTTAAGACTGTGGCTCTCATACATATCTAAAAGGAAGACGTGTCCGAGATTTTATTTAACTCTCTAATTGACGAGGGAACCAACCAGCAAGATATTGAAACAGGTTCAAAGGAAATTTAAAGAACACACACACACATGCTGTTGTAATGTTGAAAATTTATGAATAGATGCAAAACTGGTCCATGTCCAAAGAGCGAGGGTCAGCTGCATCTTCACCAAATTCACTAGCGTATCTGCGTACTAGATGGGTATTACTATCACTTTCTTACAGCTTTGTATCAGTCAGGTTCTTTAGAAATAGACCCAGTAGGTGTGTTGTGTGGTATGTGCTGGTGCCTGCTTTGTGCAAACCCACCCCAAACATCCCTGTTAATCACTGTCTTGAGAGTATACAGATCCTGTCCTCCCACTGGATTCCCATCAAGCAGGAAATGTAGAAAAATATGTTGTTCAAGGGGCGCCTGGGTGGCTTACTCGGTTAAGTCTCTGCCTTCAGCTCAGATCATGATCCCAGGGTCCTGGGATTGAACCTCTCCTGGGGATCTCTGCTCAGTGGGAGCCTGCTTCTCCCTCTCCCCTTACCTCCCCTGGCTTGTGCTCTCTCGCTCTCTCTCAAATACATAAAATCTTGAAAGAAAGAGAGAAAGAAAGAAAGAGAAAGAAAGAAAGAAAGAAAGAAAGGAAGAAAGAGAGATGTGTTGTTCAGTGTTCGAGGTCAGGCACTTTGGGGGCAACCAACATGGAATGACCACCTTTGTAATAAGGGTGTCCGGATGGTAGGCCTTGATGTCTTTGGAACGGTGGCCATACAAGGAAGGGAGAGATGACAGGAAGTTGCTGGCTACTTGGTACTTATGAAAACAGCAGAAGCTTTGTCCCTTCAGCTGCTCCTGGACTCCTTATATGTAAGCTCCTCCAAGAAACCTGTATCTTGATTCCTGTCTCCAAGTCAACTCTCTGGTCTTGTGGGACTGTCACTTGCCCTGGGCTTAGAGTCTGCTGGGGAGCTGCTGCACGGTACGTATGGATTATGAGAAACTAACTCATGCTAGTTTTGGAGGAGACCTGGTGCTGTGGTTCCTGTCCAAGTCTGAAGCCCTCACTCCAAGGTCCAAGGGCAGGAGAAGATGGATGTCCCAGCTAATAAGCAGGGAGAGAAATTTTACCCGTCTTCACCCTTTTGTACTATTCAGGCCCTCGTGGATGAGATGAAGTCCACTCACACTGGGGAGGGATATCTGCTTTATTCAGTGTCCTGATTCAAATGCTAACATCTTACAGAGACCCCGTCACAGACACACCCAGCCATAATGTCTAACCAGCTCTCTGGGCACCTCGTGGGCCACTTTGCACAAACTGTCTCACATTTAAAGTCTTCATTAGCTCAAAGACAGCTCAGGTCCTGTTACACCAGGTCACCACATGTCGACAGCAAGATGGAGTCACTTATGTTAAGCAGTCACTCATGTCAGACATGACATAAGGAGCCAAGGGCATGCAGGGAAGACCAGATATTACCTAGAGCAGCACTGGCCGACCACGCCCCAGAACCGACAACCAGTAGAAGCAGGGGAGGTCTGCAGAGCCCAGGACTGACAGCCCTTTACAAAGGGAGGACTCTTGCAGCAAACCATCAGACTCCTCAGACCCTGACCACTTCAAAGGGCAGCTGCTGTTCGGGGCTCTGCCTGACTGATCTCCCAGAGGAACCAAGACCCTGCCCTCCTGGGACAGAAGCAGCAGTAAGCTCCGGAGCTGACCTGAACAGGACCGAGACCTTGTCTCAACCACAGACTGATGTTGTGTGGGGATTGTTGGCTTCTACGTCCTGGTCTACCCAATGTGTTGTGTGGCCCGTCTCGTGCTGTGCTCTGTGTGACCTGTAAGAAGCCGAGGTCAACACGTGGGGAGATGTCACTGAGTGTGGAATCCCGACACTGCCTCATCAGCATGTTAACCTGGAAGAATAAATAAAGCTGGTGTTGGAAAAGACACCCCTAGTGTGCACCTTCATAGTACGATCTTTGCTTATTTCAAAGTTTTTGGTTTTTTTTTTTTAACCACTTTTTATGACATTCCTTTTTATATGTGAAGATGAAAACCCAATTCTTGACTGTAGCTTTTGGTTTGGACCCTGCTTCTCCTCTGGGCTCAAGGAAGGACCTCTTCCCCCACCAACTCTCACCCTTTTGCATTCAGGCCCCTTTAGGCTCTCCAACTTCTTCTGGCTTGGCTTGTGGGCCTCTGGCCACCCGTCGCAGGGAAGCCACCCTTCCCTCTGCTCCAGGAGGCAGTCCTCCCCAACTCTGCCTTCCTACCCAGTGATCCAATGTGCCCACCGCCACCTGAGTTCAAACTCTGTTTCTCCAGGGAAACCCCTTCCCAGCCCCAGCACCTTTATCAAAGCTTTTCTTCTTCTTCTTCTTTTTTTTTTTTTTGAGATTTTATTTACTTATTTGACAGAGAGAGACACAGTGAGTGAAGGAACAGGAGCAGGGGGAGTGATAGAGGGAGAAGCAGGCTCTCCTCCGAGCAAGGAGCCCAATGCGGGCTCGATCCCAGGATCCTGGGATCATGACCCAAGCAGAAGGCAGATGCTAAACCGACTGAGCCACCCAGGAACCCCTGTCAAAGCTTTCTTTAGAGCCTTTACCCCAAGTTTGTGAATATGTTTTATGTGAATTTGAATTTTTTGATTTTCAAATAGCATAGGCTAAAAATATTAGTAAATCTGTCTTTATGCTTAAACTTAGAAATAATGCAAACCTCCCAAAGTACCCCCCCCCCAAAAAAAAACAAGTCCCTTGGAGCTGTACCGCCTCAGAGCTGTGTTTCCAGTGACCTATAAACTGGGTTTCCACTCTGGGTGGCTGTACCCAGGGTTAGCAGCGCAGGGGGTGGGGGGGGTGAGGGGTGATGGGGGGAAGACGGCCTGTTGTGATGCTTCTCAGTGGGGGTTACTGTCGTTGTGTATGCATGTAATTGTGGCACTTGCAGGGGGCTGGAATATACTGGAATTATTGTAAGCTGAAAATAACTGAGGAACAGGAGACCCCAAACAAAGTGTGCCCTCCCCTCTCCTGTATGAAGAAGGGCAAAGCTGTGATCTTAACCATGGGACACTCTTACCAGGATCTACAAAACAAACCTTACACAACCTCCTCTTCCTTTTAGTCTCTCCCAGGCATTCACCTTTCCATGGTTTGCCATGTGTAGAAGCCTACATTTCTTCTCCTTTGTCCTGTCAGTTCTTTTCAGATGTATTGTCTTGTGAAGACTCCTTTGGGTTACTCAGCACTGAGTTTCCCCTGTCTGTATGCAGGCTGTCTATATCAATAAACTCTCACTATTCTTTTGTTTTTCTCTTGTTAATCTGTCTTTTGTCAGTTTAATTTTCAGAACCCATGCCACGAAACCAAGGAGAATATAAGAACATTTTTTCCCCCTCTCCTACACACTTTTTATTATTATTATTTTTTTTTGGAAGGACAAATAGATTTTCAGGAGAAGAGACAGGAGATGGGAAAATTTGTGATAATGTTTATCTATACAGGTAAGAGTGGTCTTTCAATCTTATTCTGGGTCACAAGCTCCCTGTGGAGAAGGGGTCTGGAATAGGCTTTATTTGTGTTCTCCCTTCTGGGAGTAGATCCACCCTGAAGAGGAATTTATGGCAGCCTTATTTCCCAGTAGTGGCTGCTTTCAGTCAGCAAAGGGAAGCTCTGAGAAGGCTTTTCAAAAAAGTTGGTTAAATGTCAAATATTTTCAGCTTAAAATAATCTTCATGCCAAACGTGCATCTTTTGGAATGTATTCTGATCCTGTTCAACTGGGGAGAAACATCCCCTCCCCACCTGGACTTATTTGTGTCGGTGTCTTCCGCTGAGTACATGACCCCCATGTTGGTGTCTATTCTGTTCAGAGGCCCTTGACCCTGAGTCCCCTGACAATATGAAAACGCATTGAGGGAGACAAGCCAGACGCTCAGAGAGAACCGCAGAGAGCAAACAGTTCAGGACTGGGCTATGCAGCGGATTCCAGGTGGTGGTCTTTTCCAGAAGTTTCCACAGTGCTCGGAGAAGCCAAGTTCCTTTGTTCCCGCAGGGGGCAGGGTGGCCACATTCCAGAAGGCTCCCCCCTCAGGGCTTCTTTCCTTTCAGCCAAGAACCAGTTCTTGCGGAGGTGGAGGTGACAGGCCCAGAGAAGGAACCGGCTCAGCCAGCCCCGGGCCTGCACTGACGCCACAGGGCGGCAAGGTTGTCCAGGCCCGTGTCCTGGGGCGGGAAGGACCCCCAGCCTGGGCAAGAGTGACCACCGGCCAGGCCCACAGGGCGCAGGCAGGGCTGCGGGACCAGGACCGAGAGCGGCCCAGAGGAGGAGGCGGGTCGGAGGCCCAGGGCCCGCGGCCATGACCGCGAGGCGGCCGTGGCGTGTCCAGTCCCACCGCACTGCCCAGGCTGCTGTTTGGGGCTGGCTAATGATTAGCAGGAAAAATGTCAACTCTGGGGCGCGCTCACCTTCCGGGAGCGAGAGGCGGGTGGCAGGCAGAGGCCACCTCTGTGTTTATAGCCTGGCCTGTGACGTGGGAGAGCATTTCGCCGGGAACTTCCTGTTAACAGGTGAAGTGGGTCGGGATTCTCCGGAGGCCGCACAGGTGTGTTCCTGCGTCTGTGTGGACTGAGACAGAACCGTGGCTAGGTGCCCCGGGGATTGGAGAACCTCTTCTGAAGCCCGGAAGAGGAAGGAGGCCTTCCTGCCCGAGGTAAGGCAGCTCCAGCCAGCGGCCGGGCGTCTGTCTGTCCAGCGGGCTGGTCCCCTGGCACCTGTCTCGGCTGAGGGGCGGGTCGCCCGGCCACAGGCCTCTAGCTGCTGTCCCAGGAAAAGTGTCCCGCCTGCAAACACACACTCGTTGTTGCCCAAGGGACACAGAGTTAAACATTAAAAGAGGGGGCTGCCCTGGGGGTTTCGGAATTCAGGAGGCTTTCTCATGGAGCGGCAGCCCCTGTCACAGCGCAATGCGCTCCGCGCGCAGGGAAAGCGCAGACGCCGCGATCTGGGAGGTCAGGATTCCAGCGCTGGGAAATCCTGGCGGCTCCGCTGTTCATCGCAGGCACCTGCAAATGCCGTTTGTGGGAAGGAAGGAGAGGGGCTCTGAAGTCCCTGAGGGCCAGCGGACGCCCCGCTGTGCCGGTGCCCAGTCTCGCGAACGCCCAGACGGCTGCAGGCCGCCCCTTGCACGGATTTTGCGGCAGCTGACTCTCACTCACCCTGAGGGGCCCTTGTCCTTCCTGTCGGGTCTCGGCTTCATACCTCTGCCTGGAACAGAACGTCGGCAGGTGCCTTCAGATTTTACCATCTCAAGCTACTTCCTGGGCCCCAGAAAGAAGGGCTTATGTGTGGGGCGTCCTGAGATGGTGAAGTCCAGCACTGCCCTCCCTGAGCCCACGCCTTCTGTTTTTGCCTTCTCTGGGCAGTAAGGGACTGGTCGGTGGTTCAGCCCTGCCTGTGCCATACAGTTTAATAAGGCGTGAGATCTTAAGCAGGCTTTGCAGCTTCTCACCTGGAAGGGGGCACTTCCAATCCTCCATCACAAAAGGAATGAGATCAACTCAGGGATCTGTTCCACTTCTCCCTAGAGATATTAACTTGCAAATTACTTGCCGTAGGTCCTAATTTAATGAAAGCGAAACGTCTGAGTTCAGTTAAAACTTGAAATCGGCTTCCTGACGGCCCGCACCCTTCACAGGGAGCTGGGCGCGCATCAGCGTCTGCGGTAATCCTGCTACAGGTCCTGCAGCTCTCGGGAGCTCCTGACCCGCCCGCCCTGTGGGTTCCGCTGGGCTCTGTGGAAACCAAGTGCCGGTCCTACGGAGAAGCCAGGGCCCGAGAGGACGGCGGCAGAACGGAGCCTGCCGCAAGCGCAGCCCTCTGGCCGCAGTCTGGAGCCTGGCTCATCTCGGTTATCAGCATCCCCGGTAGACCTTACGCTACCACCGCAGTTTCAATAGCGCAAGCTGCGCCCTTGGCATTTATTGCTTTCGGTGACATGTGTAAGCTTCTATGACGTGATGGTTCAGCTTCGCCTCCAGCTGCTGCTGGGGTGCAGCACTCTGGGCTACACCCGCAGTGGAGTGCGGTGCCTGGCCTGCTGCGTTGTGCGCATCGAACTTTGACAATTAGTAAATGATTTATTTGGCGCTTCATGATTAGGGATCTGGAATCGGTCTGGGAAGGCTGTGATTTCACTTGGGTGTCCGTGCACCTTGCTGCTGAGGCGTGTTTGTGCGGGTCTCTAAGCCTGTTTTGGGTTACTGCTGGGGTGGGGCCCGCCGGGCAGGGGGCGGGGTCCACCGCCGCTGGGGCCGTGGCACACATTCTTTGAATTTTACCTTACGCCCACGAGTGGTTATAGTTGAGCACACATGCTCAGTTTTGCTTTCCCAACACATCGGAGAAACAAAGGGGGTAGATAGCCTATGTTCCTCCTCCTGAGTTGTGAATACCCAGGATCTCGCTAGGAGGGAAAGCGGGTTACAGGGCTGGGTGTCTTTGCCATGCTTCAAACCACCTCTCAGTTGTCTTCTGCAACCTGTATGCTGTGTGCTCTGCAGACTGAGGTGTGGCGGGTTTTAGTCTGTGCCCTGTCTCCCTGCTTGTATTTCTGCTTGTGTGTTGCTGTGGGGTCTGTCTCTTTTGGTCTGTACCAGAAGAAAGGGAACTGAAGCCCTGGACAGGTGTCAGCTCATGACAAAATCCCACAGTTGGGGAGGTGTTTCTCCCGGAACCCAGCGCCCCACATTTTGGAGGGTTTGGTTGGACTCCCCTGGGTTCTCCCCGACTGGCTGATGGGGCCGTGAAATCCCTGTCCATGCCAAAGCCACAGAAAACCATTCCCCGGTTAGGGTGCTGTGTACCACATGGTGGTGTTGAAGAATGTTTGAAAGAAAAAGACCCTTTTCTGAGGCTAAGGGTCTGTCGTTTTTGCGGACAGCTCCCGGCCTGTTCAGTGGGTGATTTACTTTAAATGCTCCAGTGGGACCTCACGGAGCGGGTGACTTCATCACATAGGCTAGTTGCAGGGGAGAAGGGGAAAATCACAAGATAACATGTGGGAGTGTAGGGTGAGCAGAGGGTTATCCAAGAATAAGGGACTCAAAGGAAGGGCCAAGAGGTGTACATGACAGGATCTCCCTGTGCTGTCAAGGGTCCAGTAAGGACTTACTCAGTCTATCCTGGCCTCCCTTAGCTCTGACCTCTCACCCTCTCCCTCGCTCCTCACTCTGCCCCAGCCCTGGAGCCCTTTCAAACATGCCAGGCACTATCCCACCCCAGGGCCTTTGACCTGCTGCTCCACTGCCTGGAAAGCTCCTCTGAAGATGCCCACGGGGCTGTCAACCTCGCCTCCTTCACTGTTCATAGGGCAGCTTCTCAGGAGCCTTTCTCCAATTTCCCTAGTTGTGGTCATAGCCAGCCCACCCCATGCACACAGTCACGTGTACACACTCTCCTCTTCTATTTTTCTTCATAGCTTTGGCACCTTCTAATAAGCTTATGTTCTGTTTTTTTTTTCCCCATTTTGTTGCCTCTTTTTGATAATGTGAACTTGTCATGGGCAGGATTTCTTTTTCCCAGTGATTAAAACACCATGATTGAAATGAAGAGCAGTAAGCCCGCACCCCTGCATCTTGGTGAGGGCTCCCGCGGTAATGGTATACCATCTGCATTTTGTAATTTATACATGGGCTTGGGAGTAAGATCAATTAATACAGTGATTCTCAAACTTGAGCACATGCCAGAACTGGCTCCTTGTTGCATTGCTTAGACAGATCTCTGGGCTTGCCCCTGGAGCTTCTGATCCAGCAGGTGGAAGGGGGAGGCTGGTGCTGTGACCATGCTGAGAAGCTCTAACCCATCCACGGACCCATGAGCTAGGAGGGGTTCTGTGTTCTCTGAATGGCAGATGTTCATCAGTGGTAGACTGTGACCTGCCTGCTTTGTTTCTCCAGGGGTGAAGAAAACGTGTGGGGATGGAGAGCAGCTGGAAAGGCATCCCGACCACACTGGTTGTCCTGGCTGGGCTGGCAGGTAGGGCTCTTGCGAGCTTGGTGGAACTTTCATGGGCATCTGCTGAAGTGGGCAGAAGGGAACCCAGAAGAGGCAGTCTGGACAGGTGACTGCCAGAAGCTTCTGCCTTGGGCCCTTCCCACAGTGAGGTCCCTTCGGTTGGGTCCATTTCCCAGCTCTGCTGACTGAGCTGTGGGAGAAGTCCTTCATGGGCATTTGGCCCAATAGTCCTGTTCATTGGGTTGTCGCTGGTGTGGGCCTTTGCCTTCCGTACCTTCCCATACTCATTGCTTTTACTGAAATGTCCCATCCTCTTCCTGGTTTTTTCTTCTTCCATTTATAGTTGGCCTTCAAGGAAGGCCCCATTCAGGCATCACCTCCTCCCTGAAGCCCTCCTGACCTGGCAGTGTTCAGGGTGATAATCCCAGCTCCTGTTTATTGATGGGGCGGCGGGGGGAGGGGCGTGTGGATGCCTGTGAGGCCTGACATTTCTCCCATCAGCTTCTCATCCTGGATCTCTCTCAGGGTGTTAGCTGGAATGGACTCCAGGCTATCCCTGGCCAGGGCCTCGTGATCTGACTTCACTTCGCAGGAGAAGGAGCGAGCAGACTGATGGGTCCTTAGGGCGACTGGAGTTGGCTCCCCCAGCTTTCTCTCATTATGTCTTGTCTAGATTTCTTTGCTTCAGGTGTGTTTGTCTTGTCTTCTCAACTAGGTTTTAAACTGCAAAGGTATCCGTGCTGTATTCCTTATGTGGTGACTTTAAGGCATTGTACTTAAGCATAATAAACATAGAGAAAAGTGCACAAGTCATAGAGGTGCCGTCTGATGACTTTTCACAAACTGAACACCTTCGTGTATCAACAGTGACATCAAGCGCCTCCCACGAATGCCCCCTTTCAGACACTCTGATATCCCCTCCTCCAATATTCAATATTTATTGAAAAACGGAAAAGACATAAAACAGTATAGGGACTATTGGAGTGTGTTATGGGCAGTAGGGACTGTTTTGTGAGTTTTGGTTGGGGTGTGTGGAGACATTAAGCCCAGGGGACCAGGCTGTGGTGTTAACATGTTTTTGGGCACCAAGATGTTTGCAAACTCCTGGCTTACAGTGCACAGTGAGAGGTGTTTAGTAGCTGCTGGATAAACATTTGTTTGTAGAGTGGAGAGGGAACACTGTCCCCGCTCGTGTGGAGCTTAAGGACTTGTCTTGGGGCTAGTAGACCACACTCAGCACCCATTTTAGGGACAAGGCTCTACCGTGGCTATTTCAGCCACAGCAGCAAAGATCTCTTCTAGCAGCTCAGCAGGAAACTGATATGCCATGGGGTCTACCGTTTTCTGAGGTATTTTTCCCCGACGCTCTATTTTGGACAAAGGAATGGCTCTGGTTGAGGCGTGGAGATGGTTGTTCCAGGAGGGGAGAGGGTTATGGGCTAATTCCTACGCTCCCTGGGAGATGGGGTCCATCACAAAAGCCTGAGCCCCTTGGATGTTTCATCTTGGAAAGTCTTGGAGTAGAGACACTTTCATTTATAGAGTTGGCTTTGAATAGCTGAGAGCGGCCTCCCTGTGCATCCAACGGGTTCCTGCCAGCTCTCTCCTCTCTACCTTGCCCCAGTGTAATGGGTTATTTAGAATCCAACACCTTTACTTATTTACTCAGTGAGTATTCCCTGAGGGCCTGTTAGGTGCCATTTAGTTGCAGGCACTGGGATGTGGTGATGAGCAAAACCAGGCATAGTCCCTGCTAACAAAGACCTTACAGTCTAGCAGAGGAATCAGGCATTAGGTGAAAAATCAATATAAAATCACCATTGTGATAATTGCTTCTATGATTTGAAAGCCTGTTATAGGATAATTCAACCTAAAATTCTGGGAAACCTTCCCTGGGGAGGAGACAACTAGACTGGGAGCTGAGGCGTAAGCAAGACTGGTATGCCAGGCTGATCACTGCCTGTGCAAAGGCCCTGGGGCCAGAGAGACTTGGTGAGTTTGATATATTTAGGATAGTCTGGTGGCCAGAGTGTGGAATTTGGGGCAGAAGGAAGTTAATGTGAGACTAAGTAAGGTCTTAAGATATGATAATGGTAAGGATTATCTGGTGTTTATTTAAAGTGGATGTGTTTAAAATATTTAAACAAAGTGTGAGTATGTAGGTGGGAGGTGGAGGAGGGGTCCGTGATCACACTGGTTTGCGGAGAAGATCCCACTGGTTGTTTGTCATGTAGATAACAGTTCTGGGTGCTGGTGGCACAGCAGTGGTTACAGGGACTCTGCAGGTGTTTCAGGACCCCTCCCTCACTTCTCAGTTTCCTTCTGACTGTCCCAATCCCTGATGTGTTCCGACTCCCGTTTTCTTTCTCGGAGCTGTCACACCAAATCATTTTTCTGCTGCTAAATCCATTTCATTTCCCTTTGACCCTTCTGCTTTTCATTGTCTTCTTTTTGGTTCCTTTCCAGTGCCGAGTAAGAGAAGGGGGAAAGTGAGGGGTCCTCAGGTACAGTGAGGAGCCTGCTGGAGGAGAGTGGGAGAATAGGGTCTAACCTCCTGCCAGGGAGATGGCCAGCTGCTCCCACAGGGAGCTGAGAGACAGCCTTTGCAGAAGGTTGGTATCATCCATGTTTAGGATCAAGTGATGGAGGGCTGGTGGGAGGCACGGAAGCAGGCAGAGGAGCTACTGTTGGAGTGATTCCCATTTTGCAGATGGGAAGATGCAGTGACTCAAAGAGATGCACTTCAGTCCGGGCTGCAGCCCGTCATTCGTGGAGATGCCTGGTGGAGTAGGATCCTCAGCAGGGGAGGAAGCAAGGTGTTGGGATGCTAAGATGGAAATTAGAGTGTGAGTGTGAGTAAGGATCCTGGAAGTGGGTCGACTCCTGAGTTGGGCGACCACCACAGTTGGCAGCCAGGGGAGTGTCTGGGAGGGGGACCCTGATCTTTGCCGTGGCTCTGCCCCAATTTGCCTATTTGCTCTACAGAATGAAAGGGGGAGGAGAAGGAAAGGGCGGTTTTGTGTTTGATGAAGGTCTTGTTTACAATTTTCTCGTATTTGTTCTGCGCAGGGCAGGGTGACACACACCACAGCTGATAGGACTCAGAGGAGGGCGGCTCCAGGACCTCGCATTATCGGGATACAGCTTCTGAGTCACGAGGCAGGCCTAACGATGGGTTTACCCATGGTGGGAAGTCAAGACTGTGGGTGACACTGTCAGGGCAATGGAGTGCTTAAGACTGGGTGCCTCCTGTTTAATATAGAGGGCAGGCTCAAACTCAAGGCGTTTCCATTTGGCCTTCCTCTGCCTCACCTCCCACCTGTGAAGTAAGGTATGTGGCCTGCGTGTTGTCTTGGTCACACGCAGCAGTCTGCTGGCTTGGAGTGAAATAAGCTGTCAACCCCCCACCAGGCTGTGAGGGAGTCATGGTTCTGAACGGGTCCCCGAATTCAGTGGGACTGCTTGGACCGAGCTCCTGGCAGGGAAGCCTGGGTCTCCGTCGTCCGGGCTCTGTCCACATCCGAACCTGGGTTCTGTCCACTTAGTTCTTGTGACCTGCATCAGGAGCAGGGGAAGAGCACTGTTGTCACACTGTGGGGGTGGAGAGAGCGTGTGTCTTTCCTCAGGGTGTAGACTTGGCTCTTTCTTTTCTTTTGTCCTTCTTCTTAAGGTGCAGCTCAGTGCTTGCGGAAAGAGCTGAGTTGGCAAAGCGGCTGTGGCTTCCCTGGGGAATCAATTCTGATTTCCCTCCTCAAGCTTTTTTCTTGTTCTAAAATCCCAGATCAAAGGGATCCTTGGATCAGAGGCACTTGTCCAGGGATAAGGGAGGATACCCAGTAGAGGCTGCTTTTAGAATATTACCATCTCTCATTTCCTATCACACCCAGAGACCCCTCCCCCCAAAAAAAGAAAAAAAAAATGAATAGCCATCATGCTTACCCAAACACAGCAACCGTTTTAGTTAATTCTGATTTGCCCTCGGTTCTGTCTCTTTGGACTCCACAGGATCCCTTCCTTGACCTTGACCCTGGCTGCCTCTCCCCCTGGTCCTGCTTGCCTCTGGGACACTGTCTGTGCAGCAGCCAGTGCATCCTGGGCGCTCAGGTGATGTGTTAACATGTTAATGCCTGTCCGGGGTGTGGTGTCTCCCCAGGAAGCTGTAGGGCTGTAATGAGATTCTTTTAGAACCTGTAAAATAAGTTGACCTTATGAAGTTGGAAGGACGGGGGGCTGCAGTGATTTGGGGGCAATCAGTGTATATGGCTGGCTGCCTGGTGGTCCCACCAGAATCATAAAGCTCCAGAAAGTCAGAGGAACACATTGTTGTCTTACTGATGAAGCAGGTAGGGCTGAGAAGAAACCACCGGGCATGGTCTGCCAGGGGTCCTTTTTGCTGTAAACCCTGAGTGGGATCAGAAGGGAAAGGAGGAAAGAGAGAAGGTCCGAGTTTGGGTCTCAGCTCACCGCTGTGATCCAAGTCCTGGGTATTGCTGCTCTTTACTTCTTCGTCGTTAAACAATAGGTGGTAAAAACATGAGCATTCAGAGATTTAGAAGACTATCCTTTGCTGTGCAAGTTTTACTTTGAATTTTTATTACAAACATGGGAAGGTCTTGAAAACTTTCACTGCCGGTTGGCTCCTCTAAGATGATTAGAACTTTGGTCCTAGTGCCCAGAAGATATCCTGAGCTCTTCTGGCGTAGAGCTTTCCATCTCAGGTGGTTATGGCTGAGGTCACGTGAGCTGGAGAGCCATTGGCGTACCCCATGTGGAATACCAGTCAGGAGTTGTCACTCCAGATTTCACTGGAGTCACGGGGCATCTGGTGAGCTAAGGGTTGAATGTGGTGTAAAGGGTGAAGGAAGAAATTTTACTTCAATCTGTGGCATCCTTGGCTCGTCTTACAAATCAACACATCCTTCGTTGCGTGTCACATAGGAATGAACATTTGCTGAGGGCTTGGGGGTCCTGTGAAGGACGTCACGTGGATTACCATATTTGGCTTTTGAAACAAGTTGCCGTAGTATTAGTGACTATGTTTGCAGCTGAGGGGAGTGGGGCATGGAGAAGTTGAGATAGCTTGTCCATTGAGCCAGGAGTCTCACCTGAGAGACCGCGGTCTTATGCTTATGAGCACCTGACTGTCTGCTGGGGTTTTAAACCTAGCACTCAGGGTAGTGAGACTTGGATGAGGCTGCCGGATGCATCGCTTGGTGGTTTACAATAGGAAAGCCTATCCCCCACATCCTTCTATTTACCCTCTTCCCTCTCTTTGTATCTCCCCACTGAGGTCTCTTCTGGACCTTAAGAAGAGAGGTGTGACTCAATGATAGTACGGTTCTCTTGATACTTGGTGACTGAAGGACCTATCACTCCGTGACAGCGTACTCAGGACGCAGCTGTTGTCTTTTTCCAACTGGATTCCTTCTCTCTTGACCTTGTTTATTCTCTGGCCCAGACACTGTCCCGAGCATCCCACTTGGGGGCTCTAAGAGCGCAGGGTACACATGGGGCTGTGATCACCGCATGCTGTGTTCCCCATTCTCTTTGTGAAGAGAAGCCTTGGGATTTCCTCAGAGGTGGGAATCAAAGATCCTTCCCCTTTTACTGGGAAGATAACTCTCATTTCATAGTAAAGGTGAAAAAACTTTTCTTGGCAGAGCTGGGCTACAGGGTGCTCGTGGGACTAGGCTGGGATCAGGTATTAAAGGTAACATATCTCTGGAGGTTGAGGAAAGCATCTTTTTTTGCTTCCAGTTTGGTGGGAGTGCTGAGAACTGTGAAGGGAGGGATTGGAAAGGAGGGATGTGTGGCTTCCTGTCCACTGGGGAGACATGGTGTTGGGATCAGGAAGACATGGAGTCTGACCACTGGGTATCCAGAGGTCACAGCTGGTAAATACAGAAGGGTTAAACCGTACGGTTGACTTACATAGATCCGCTCACTTACCTCCTTGAAAAACTGGCTGCCTTCCAGCTTCTGGATCCAGCTATCAAATCATAGAAGGTCCCAAGAATGCAACGGTGCTGGAGGGCTCGGAGGCTCGCTTCAACTGCACCGTCTCTCCGGGCTGGAAGCTCATCATGTGGGCTCTGAATGACACGGTGGTGCTGAGCATCACACCCACAGAACCCATCATCACCAACAAGCGCTTTACCTCTGCCAGTTATGAAGAGGGCGGCAACTCCATCTCTGAGATGATAATCCATGACGTGCAGCTCGGGGACGCCGGGCGCATCAAATGCAGCCTCCAGAACAGTGACCGGGATGCCTCTGCCTTCCTTTCCATCCAAGGTGGGTACACAGGGACCCCTGAGTGGAGCAGGTGGCGTCTGCTGGGCCAGACACCAGGGGAATGGAGGGACCCTTCGGAGTTCATGTCACGTGTGATGATGGGTCTGCTGTCACCTGGACTTACACTTGGAATGATTCCAAACCAACAAATATCGATCTCACCCCCTCCCTCACTGATTCTCTTTCTGCTTCCCTTCTTGCTGTTTCTCTTGTCTCTCTTCTCCTTTCCCGTTTCTCTCACTAAGATCCTTAAACACAGATCTTACCACTTTCCATCTGAACTGTATCAGTGCTGATAGCTTTTGTGACATTTACCCCGGATTCTCCCCAGGCCAGTTGTGGTCACTGCTCTTTGATTTAGGGAGGACTGCCTGTCCTTGCCTTTTCTCTAGTTTTTTTATGCACTTGACTTTGTCTTTTTGCCTTACGTCCTGTATGCACTTTGAATCATGCTTTACCCTTTACCTCTTTCCAGCTGAACTCTGCCAATCTTCTGTTCTCTCTTGCCCCCAGAAGTTCTTATAGTTGAAGATGTGTGTTCACTAAGTATACAAGTGTTTTAGAGAAGAGTGAATGAAATTTACCGTAATGGATGACTTATTTTTCATTCTTAGAGGGAATTGTGAGATGCTCAATTGTGAGATGCTCCAAAACATGCCATATAGTGAAAAAAGGAAAAAAAAAAAAGGATGTTTTTCAAGAATTCAGAACATCTTTATCAAAGTTTAATCACTTTGCACTCTTTTTGTAATTCAGTGGTATTTTTAGATGCACTGGAGCTGGTAGAGCTTCTGATTTCTGTGGCAGTATTTCTTACAGCCAACCACATCATATGTTTGAAAGTTTTCTTATGTCTATTTATTTGCTTATCTAGGAGAAATTTCCAAATGTTGGATTTGTGTTAATGTTGCATCAAATCCAGTTTGATAACACTTGGTAGAGATGCATGCCTACCTATTTCTACTTTTTTTTTTCTTAGTGATTGTTGTCAATTGTAAGTCAAATTTTTGTCTCTTTATGTTTATGTGTCTTTAATTTTATGATGTTTGATGATGTTTTCTGAATAGTGCTTTTCTGAGACTACCTAGATTATTGGCTTAGTTTGCATGACTAGATTCTTACTACAATAATTTGTGGTATAAGGGAATGAACACAGGAAAAAGGGAATCAAAGACTTGAGTTCTGGTTTGGCTTTCATCAATTAACAGCTTGGTGACCCCTGAGGAGGCTCCACTTCTTCATCTCTAAATTGGGGATAAGGCTTCCCTGCCCACCTTGCTGGTTTACTGTGAGGATTTGATAAAACAATGACAGAGGATGGTTTGAAGACTCCAAAGTCCTGTCTGGTTCAGCTCATTGCACACATAGTTGGGAGCCAGAGTGGTCTGGTGGTTCATGATGCACGCTGGGACCTGAATGCTAAGTTAAGATTCCAGCTTCATCACTTACTAACTGTGTGACCTTGGCCATGTTATTTGATGACCTCATGCCCTAGTTTCTTCATTATAGGGTAGTTGTGGGATAACATGAGTAGGTTCATGTAAAGCCTTTAAAATAGCTCCTGGGTTCTAGCAGTCTCTATATAGCTAACTGCTATTACTTATTGCCTACCCAATAAAAGCACGCCCTTGTGTGAGGCATCTGAAAGGGGTCTCAGAGATGAGTAGGATAAGGCAGAGTCCTGCCCTTAAGGACTTTACATGAAGAGTAGATAAAGCAAATGCATGAATAACATTGGTGCATTGGAGAGACTGGCAAGGACCCTGAGCGGGAGACAAGCTTAGGTCTGAATTGGGAAGGAGGAAGAGAGAATAAGCCAAGATTTCATGGATGACTCCATAGTGAGGTGCCTTTTTGTGCTTGGGGGTCTGAGGATGATAGGTAAAATGGAAAAGTGAGAGAGGAGGAGAGCAGCCCTGGATCAAGGAAGCAGGGTCAAAGGCAGGACTTCTTAATATGCTTATAGTCTATCAAATTCATCAAATTCATCAATCCATGTGGTTTTAAGGCAGCTTTCTCAAAGCCATGCATCTATAAAGTTGTCTGAATATACCCAAACAAGCATTTTTATTTGTTGGTAATTACTGTAGCTTTTGGCTTTAATACAGATGGAAGAAAAAGCTTCTATGGAAATTAAATTCTTTCCCGAGGTCATGCAGAAGAAACCTTACATCAGGGACCAAACGTGGTTGCATTACCCAGGTTGCAGTGTCCGGAGTGGCACTTTGTTCCTAGAGGAACAAAATGTTCTCCACGCAGCAGGATCTCTTTCAAGGGAAAAGAATCTTCAAAAAAGAGGAGGCATCCATTTTATTTTTAAAATGAATTATCCAAAGATTTATTTTTTCCTCCTCGTGTATCAGCAATAAAAATAAAGACAGCTTACATAACTCCATGTTGAGTCATCCAAAATCTATGTGAATGTTCTAGTCATCACCTTTGTATAAAGTGTTTATCGTGCTGCTTGATAAGTTCTGTGAAAGCCAATGGGAAAAGCTGAATCACAGATATATATAGAAAAAGGAAATGCTTCACTTGTTTCACTCATCCAGTCTATCAACCATGCACCAAATTCTAGTCCTCTTGTATTTTTTTTTGTTTTTGTTTTTTAAAATTTTATATATTTATCTGACACACAGAGAGAGAAACAGTGAGAGAGGGAAGCAGGGGGAGTGGGAGAAGGAGAAGCAGACTTCCTGCTAAGCAGGGATCCTCATGTGGGGCTTGATCCCAGGACCCTGGGATTATGAACCAAGCAGAAGGCAGATGTCCAGCGACCAAGCCACCCAAGCTCCCCAGACCTCTTGTGTTTTGAGGGCCACTAGACTTCAGTTCAAGATCATCCATTATTAATTGAGGCAATACCATTCCTTCCGGTTTCTGTCATCTTAAACCTGTCCATCTCATGAAACAATGAATGGAGGAAAAGTAATAAGGACAAAATCCAGTTTGAAGGACAGATCTATTCCCTCTCATTGTTGCATTTGTAGTAATCCTCGCATTAGCAAAGGTGCTCTACTTATTCCAAGAGACTACTGAGGAAAGTCATAATTGGAAATGTAACGTCTCAGAGTAAGAAGAGTTTTCAGAGCTGACCCAGTTCCATGTAGTTGGGGAACCCTTGGGCATCCCCTAGACCCTTTCAGGGTCTGTGAGGTCATGACTGCCCCATAATAATACTAAGATATGAGTTGCCTTTCCTGCTGTCATTGTACTAGTGCACAGGGAGGCTCTCAACGTACATTGGGAAGGTCTGCATAACTCTGTGGACCCCCATTTCCTAAATTATCAAGGGATAATGATACAAAGGAATGTGAGAGTGAAAGACCAATCTAAGTGCCAGATAGAACAGTGGATTTTAACGTAAAAGGAAATGAAAATTCCTTTATACAAGTTCAGTTTCCACAGTGTGACTAACCTGTAAGAAACCACTACTTGTGAAGTTTTGGTACAGTATCAAAGACTATCCTTGATTATCTGAAAAGCCTTTTCACTGTTCCACCTATATATCCATGGTGGGGGGTCAGATGTTTTTAATATATTTCAACTAAAGCAATATATTGTAAAAGATTGAATGCAGAAGGTGATATGAGAATCCAGCCAGAAATGAAAGAGACTTGCATAAATATAAAACAATGATTTTTCAAAATAATTTATTTTGGTTTAAAAATAGAGGTATGTTTTCATAAATATATGTGGGTTATCATTGTTATTATAAGATAAATATTTAAAAATTTTGATTTCAAGTATGGTAAATATTGGTAGGAAGAATCCACATAAAAAGTCTTTGGAGTCTTCATGATTTTTAAGGTTTTAAAAGATACTGAAACCTAAACATTGGAAAACCTCTGATTTAATCAAATTATTTCACTTGTCTAGTGAAAAACGGAGCCTGAAAATGTCAGTGACTTGTTCCAGGTGATGGCGATCATGTGGGATATCCAGGAATGAGAACAGAGTTTTGGATCCTCAGTCCAGTGTTCTTCCCATTATATTACGCAACAGGGAGGCTGTTTTAATTTGGATGTTCCAATATTTATGTGTTTCACTAAGGCTGTGTCTTTACCGGAGCCAATATTCAGGTCACTTGGTTAATAGTAGCACGCACAAGCACTACGTCCAGATGGCTTGCCTACGGTGTTCACACTGGCATGGGCAGGTGGGTCTTTAATAAAATCCTGAAAATACTTTATCGGAGTATTCTATTCTGATATGTGATTTAGGGGAACTGTTTTTGCAGTTAGATTTGATTTTGATTCAATTTGTAATTGGAAAAATACTTTAAGGAACTGTCACAAGAAGCTATGTTCAAAATGTGTGATCCAAAAAATAAATAAAATGAATCTGACTGACCAAAGGCCAGGAGAGACTTGCTTTTCCAAAAGACTTTGAGATGTGATCTCCTTTCAGTGGAAAAGAATGTAAAGGTTTTTCCCTTTTTGCTTTGGCTCCCAGGACAACTTGGCAACCCCACTTTGTTGTGGTTCTGTAGCCTCTTAGGGCAGGCACATTTGCCCTCTTTTCCATATAATTTATACTCCTCTGGATCCTGATTTTTATTTATTCATTTTCTCTGGAATTATTTGTTTTCTGATGAGCAACCTCACCTTCTTTCATGAACTTGGTGGGTATCAATTATCAATAACACAGATAAAACCTGAGTTAAATTTCTCGATACAGACACAGCCAGTTTGGACTTGGGAAGATAACGCTAGTGATATGTGATTTGAAGGAAAAATTAAAGAAAACTTGGAACCAAGAGAGTCATGGTCACTCCTTCAGAACATTTCTCTTTTTTTCTCTAGTTATGGGGGAGTTGCTCATTCCCAGAGGCGACCTTATAGTCACTGAGGATAAACCCTGTAATGTGACTTGTCATGCATTGGGCTGGATCCCTCTCCCGGATATTTCCTGGGAGATCGGCGTTCCGTTGAGCCACTCAAGCTATTATTCTGGTCTGGAGCCCAACGACCTCCAAAGTGCAGTGAGCGTCCTGACTCTCACGCCACAGGGCAACGGGACTCTGACATGCCTGGCTAACATGAAGGGCCTGAATGCCTACAAGTCTGTAACTGTGAATCTTACTGTGGTTCAGCCTTCTTGGGGTAAGTGAAGACATTTTGCTTTATATAAAAAAAAAATTATTGTTGCATGCTTATACTTTATATGTGGTGCTCTTAATCAACAATGCCTAGGACAACTGTCGAGTGACCTTGACTTCGGTAGGGATGGTAATGGAGACAATCAGCATCGGCTTCATAACCCTGTGATTCCACTTGCTTTTAAATTTCATCTTCAATGTGTCTTTCTTTTCTACTCACTATGAAAACCATTAAGAACTTTGACAATTATTTATCATAAAACAGCCTCAGTTCAGTGATAAATACTTGAAGTCAGTGTTTCTCTGTAGCTTTTAACCATTGTTTCAGTTTAATCTCATTCCCTGGGCCAGTATGAGACAAGTTCTTCTAATAGTTGAGGGGGGTGTACAGGTGCTCTTGGATTCCTTCCAATCTTAGTAGATTATGGTTTCACTTTTTTTTAAACTGGCAAATCCACAGTGTATTTGAAAGTACCAAGTCTTATACTTCTTAAAACCCAACAAAGTGACATAAATGAGATGAAATCAGAGAGGTAGACAAACCATAAGAGACTCTCAACTATGGTAAACAAACTGAGGGTTGCTGGAGAGGAGCTGGGTGGGGGGATGGGGTAACTGAGTGATGGGTATTAAGGAGGGCACTTCATGTGATGAGCACTGGGTGTTGTATGCAACTGATGGATCACTAGACTCTACCTCTGAAACTAACAATACACTGTATGTTAATTAATTGATTTTAAATAAAAAGAATTTAAAGTTTAGATCTCCAAGAGAACCCACTGTAGGGTCCTCAGCATACAAAATCCTTTAATTACACAGCCTAAAGGGCTGCAGAGACTGCTTGAGCTTGGGGTCAGACCAGGCTAATGAGAAAACATGGGACCCAGAGCTGGAGATTTACTTGAAGTCCTCATTTTGCAAGAGGGTAGAAAGGGAGGCCCAGAGATGTGCTGTGCTCTATTCCAGGTCATGCATTGGGTTGGGGTGGAACAGGGGCCAGAAGCCAGGAAAGGGTTCCCTCTTGGTGCAAAGATTTTCCCACTACAAAAGCAACTTTATTCAAAGTTCAGAACAAAGCTACAGACAGAGAAAGACTGATAATGAAAAAGAAGAAGAAAAGGAGGAGGAGGAGGAGGAAGAAGAAGTAGGAGGAGGAGGAGGAGGAAGAGGAAGAAGAAGGAGGAGGAGGAGGAAGAGGAAGAAGAAGGAGGAGGAGGAGGAGGCAAAGGAAGAGGAGGAGAAGAAGAAGAAGAAGGAGAAATAGAAGAAGAGGAAAGGGAGGGGGAAGGAGGGGGGAAGGAGGTGAGGAAGAGGGTGATGAGGAAGAAGAAGATGAAACAGTGCTTCACAGCATTTGCCAAGTAAAGGCTCTGTTTTAAGTGCTTCTCTGATGTTAACAAAATTAACTGTACAACAGAACTATGAGTGGATCCTCATCTAGCTAAATGTTTGAATCAAGGTGTTGGTAGGGTTGGTTCTTTTAGAAGACTATAAGGGAATGATCTCTAGTCCTCTTTCTTAGCTTCTGGTATTTTCTAGCAGTCTTTGGTATTTCTTGCCTTCTAGAAGCATCAGCCTAACCTCTGTTTTCATTTTCATACGGTTTTCTCTGTGTGCTTCTCTGTGTCCAAATTTCTCTCTCTCTCTCTCTCTTTTTTTTAAAATAAGGACTCTAGTCATATTGGATTAGAGGACCCATCCCATCCAGTATAAACTGATCTTAGTTAAATTACGTCTGCAATACTCTATTTCCAAGTAAGTTCACATTCTGGGAGCACTGGGGGTTAGTACTTAAACATATGAATTTTAGGGAGACACAAGTCAACCCATGATAATGTCTCCATGAACCTCTAAAAAGCCATTCAGAGTCTACCCTGTGGTCAGTACCAGGGATTCTGTGCTTTGTACTACAGGGATTGATCCTCAGTGCAGTGAGCACAAGCTTGCTCCCCTGTTGTTAGGACTTTGCCTCCTGTCTCTGACTCAGATGCCCCCAGAGACCAGGCAGTCAACAGAAATGAAAGCATGAATGAATACATGTGTTAGGTAGAAGGCAGAGTGCAGGGGCCCATTGGGAAACAGCCATCAAGCTCCATCCACACGGAGCAGCCATACCAGTACCAGCTTGTTGTTGCTAACAGGAAAAGGGATCTAGGACTGCCAGATCTTTGACATGGATCTGGTGAACATCAATGCTTTTGAGGCTAAAGGATGCAGAAATCTGTGTTTCTTTTAAATCAAGATCAACTTATTTTAGCATATTTAAAAATGTTTTTAAAAGATTTTATTTGAGAAAGAGAGAGAGAACACAAGCAGGGGGATGGCCATGGGAAGAGGGAGAAGCAGACTCCCCACTGAGCAGCGAGCTCAAAGCAGGGCTCAATTCCAGGACCTGGAGATCATGTCCTGAGCTGAAGGCAGATGCTTAACTGACTGAGCCACCCAGGTGCCCCTCCAGTTTATTATTTTTAACAACAATATAAAAAACATTTAGCGAAGTTGCAAGACTAGTACAATGAATACCCATGTACCTTGACCTAGATACAATTAATGTTAATATTCGTCATGTTTGCCTTTCTCTCAGCTTTTTTTTTCTGAACCATTTCAGAGTTTATGACAGTTTACCCCTAAATTTTTCAGCATGTATATCATAAGATCAAAGGCATTCTATTTAACCACACCCAGTGTAGTTGACAATCAGGAAATGTGACATTGACACAAGACTGTTATATAATACACAGTCCCTATTAAAGTGTCACTAAGTATCCTTTACAGCAATCTTCTTCTCTAAAACAATGTCCAGTCAAGGACCATGTATTGCCCTTGGCTGTCAGGTGTGTAGTCTCTTCCCTTTACTCTTGAATGCTTCCCTTACCTTTTCTGTCTTTCCTGACATAAACATTTTTGAAGGGTCCAGGTCATTTTTGCAAGATGCCCTTCAATTCAGATTTGTCTGAGGTTTTCCAACATAATTTGATTTGAGGGTAAATATTCTAGGCAAGTCATGGGTAATGTCACGTGGGCTCATGATGCCGATTTTCTCTATCATTGGTAATAAGTTTGATCATTTGGTTAATGATTTCTCCATTGTAAAGGTCCTTTTCCCCATTATAATTAATATGTATACATTGAATACTGTATGAGTAGTTTATTTCCCAGCAGTCTTTCCCCTAATGGTTTTTGTATTCATCAATAAGTCATTGTCTGAATCTGTTGTTTCTATGGTGATTGTGAAAGAAGGATTTTCTGGCTCCATCATATTTTCATATTTGTTGGTTGGTAGTCTTCTGTAAGAAGAAACTTCTCTCACATTTCCTTTTTCTTTTTATTCAATACACTATGAACTCCTCCTGTCATTATTCATTTTGATGCTCAGAGTGCTCCAGATTTGGCTAGTGGGAATCCCTTCCAGCTGGCTCTGGTGTCCTTTTGACCTGGCCCTATTAGTTTTCAAGCACTTGGCCCAATATGATGTTATGAACTCCCTTTGTGTTTTCCCTGTTCTATCCCGGAATCAGCCATGTCTCCAAGGAGCCAATCCAGCTGGCTTTGAAGCTATTAAATTATGTTAAAGTATGGTCCAAGCTTTGAAAGGAAAGATTAAAAAAAAAGTTCCATTAGCACCAAACGGAATGAAATCGATGGTTTAAACCACACATCTTAACAAGGTAACAGTGCAACAAAGAGGTCTGGTCTGATTGATGATGTCCTGTAGAGATGGATTTTAGAGATTCACTTGCCTGCAAAGTTCTTCTTTTGTAGGGAAGGGCAAGGGGCACTTAATTTCCCCTGATCAGGTTTCATTCAGCAGAGTGCTTCCTTGGCCGGCTAGGACTAGGGAAGTTAGCAGCCTTAATTATGGCAGCTGGAGTCTCCACAGCCTCAAAGGGAAGCTCATTGGGTGCCTTGCAATGAATCTTACTTTATTGGACCCATTTGGAAAAGGGTAATTTGTTTCTAAATTATTCATCAAGATCCAGAGCAGCTGGTGGCTGGCTGCGTGTTGTGTATTTTATGCAAGTTGTAGTAGCTGAAGACCTCATTACAGCCCCGGCTGCTCGTGTCTGGGAGGCTTCCAGGAGCACAGCTGGGGGTGCAGAGAGCCCAGAACGAGGCCGCCTGTGCTGTGCAGGCTTCTCCAGGAATTGATAAGCATCCATCTTGCCACCCATCTCCTCCTGAAATTGCAGTCTGTGTCCGTTGTGTTCATTTCTGGAACAGTCCCCGTGAGTCGTTGCAGGGAGGACAATAGCAGTTTAGGAAGGCTAATTAGTCCAAGCCAAACAATCATTGATTCTTGAAAGAAAAGCATACTGCAAAGGGTACTGCTAATGTTTTTGAAAAGACCGATTTTCTTGATTCCAGAAGCAACACCGACTTCAAGCACTGCAGACACAGGTACCAGTGAAAGGTGGGACCCCCTCCCCTGCCCCATTGGGACGAGCACTGTCCACTCTTGGTGCTCCCAGCTGCCTTGCTTTGTTTTCTCGCTCAGGTGTACAGGCTGTGAATCATTAGAGCAAAAGAACATTCTGGGGACGGGGAAGCACCTGGTAGAGCACAGCGGTTCCTGGTTATAACCTTAGTTTTGTGAGGAGTGGCAATTTTGAGGGCAGACTGAGTGGAGGCATCACAGTCCTGGGTCACAGGCCTGGGTCTGGCTGTGAGACTCTGGGCAAGTTGCTGACCTCCGAGGCTCAGTTTCCTTGCTTGTAAAATGAGAGGGAGAAGAATAGGGCAGAAGCTCTCTCTCCCAGCTGCCCATTAGTCTCCAGGACCTTTAGCACACAGGATGGGGCTCAGGCTCCTCCCCGGAGGTTCTGACTCAATTGGTTTGTGTGCAGCCTGGAAATTGACTTTTTATTTTTTTCTCTAAAGATTTTATCTACTTGACAGAGAGAGATCACAAGTAGGCAGAGAGGCAAGCAGAGAGAGAGAGAGAGAGAGAGAGAGAGAGAGAGAGAGGAAGCAGGCTCCCTGCCTAGCAGAGAGCCCAATGTGGGACTCGATCCCAGGACCCTGAGACCATGACCTGAGCCGAAGGCAGAGGCCTAACCCGCTGAGCCACCCAGGCAGCCCTGGAAATTGACATTTTTAAGAAAACTCCCTGATCACTGGGCAGTCAGGCCTGGGGGCTGCAGAGCAGGGAGATCCTGAAGAAGGCCTTGCCTCCTGACACAGCCTCCTGACCCAGCCTCATCAGGTGCTACTCGCCTCACAGGCTTGGACACCAGACAGCCTGGACTCTGATCCCAGCTCACCTACTTACTTGCTTTGTGGCTTTGGGCAAGTTACTTAACCTCTCTGTGCCTCAGTTTTCTCATCTGTAAAGCTGAGATAATAATAATAATAATATCTACGTTACGGGCTTGTTGTTGGTGTGAGAAGTAAGCGGGTTAACATGTATGAGGCACTCAGGACAGTCCCTGCCACAGAGCCCACAGGGCAGGTGAGGGGATGGCTGCTGTCCCTTGTTTCACTGATTCAGAGACCTCCTGTGTCCCCCCCCACAGTGAGCACAGGAGCACACTTTGCACATGCCGCTGGTGACATTTTGTACTGATCCAGTTGGTTTCAAGAAATTCCGTGTGGCCTTTTTTTTTTTTTTTTAAGATTTTATTTATTTATTTGACAGAAAGATCACAAGTAGGCAGAGAGGCAGGTAGAGAGAGAGGAGGAAGCAGGTTTCCTGCTGAGCAGAGAGCCCGATGTGGGGCTTGATCCCAGGACCCTGGGATCATGACCTGAGCCAAAGGCAGAGGCTTTAACCCACTGAGTCACCCAGGCACCCCTCCATGTGGCCTTTTAAAACTCTGAGTATTTCTATGAGAGCGTCTGGGAAGTACTTCTTCCTTTTCTGCACAGATGGAAAAAGGGCAGTCCTGATGCTAAGATAAAAGTTGCACAGCGAATTCAGTCGTGTGGTCCTGACGTGCACAGATGGGTAAGGGAACACAGGGAGGAAGGCAAGTGGTGTTGAATGTGGAGGTCATCTTCCTTGGTCGTCAGGTGCACATGCACATCCTTTCCAACAACTCAAGCATTCGCCTTGAGCCATTATGTTCCCACCCTTCTCTAGCGCACAAGTCAGGGACCAGTGCCCACACAGACTCCCCATTTCCCATAAGACCTGGGCTGTATCTTTCCAGAAGATATTCTAAGTTGGACACACAAAATGAGTAGGAAGACAAGAGTCACAACCCCGGGTTTTTTCCTTCTTCTGAGTGCCCTTGTCCAGTTTACTGAGCCTCTTTGTCCCAAGAATCTTATCCATACAGTAAAGGGGTTGGATTGCACCCAAGGTCATTCCAAGATTCCGTGCTTTCTGTCCACTGCCCTGCTTTTTATCAATATATGATCATTATTTATTTTTCTTTCAATGCACTGTAAATGTACTCATTTAAAAATTAGCATCACGTTGAATCATCTATAATATATATGCATGCGTATATTCATGTATATATCATATATGATAAATTAAAAATTATTATTAAAATAAGGAAGGTTCTTCCATGCAGCTCTGGTTCCAAATTGCACCTCCTCATGGCTCATATGCCATGCTTCTTTGGGAGAGCTCCACTGGAGTAGAGAGAGAATGTAAGTCTTCTCTTGGTATGAAACTCTGGGGGAGATTTGATTCTCATATTGGAGAATCTCATCACAGCATATTGGAAGTGAAGGAAAGAGCCATGTGGCTTCTGAGATAAACTGCTGTTTTGGTGAGAGTTTGGGCTTTTAGAGCAGGCATCACTTTGCTAAACTTGGTAATTAAATTAAGAGACAAGAGAGTTATGAGGTCACAATATCACCTGCTGTCTTCCTTGCTTTGATTACCAAATCCAGTGAGATGACCCTTCCCTCTCTTTAAACAACTCCTCCCTGATGATAAGCAGCTGTTTCTGTGCTAGATCAGAGGAAAGGTTGTCACGTCAAGACTTGATTGACAGAAGCTTGGCACACTGAACGTTTTCTCCAGTAAGGGAGGAAAATGCCCTTATAGGGAATGTTTCAGTAAGTCAACAATGTATGTTGACTTTTTCCAGTAGGAATCTCAATCCCATTTCTTGAATCTTGAGCCAGACCTTAATGCTTAACACCAGCTATCTCCCTTATTATGAAGCGTTAAATATTTGCAAACTTCAGCTTGTTACAAGTTCATCAGACTGATTTAGGATGATGTCAGCCATCTTGAATGTGTGTGTCATACCCTGCAGTGTTCTCAGCACTTTCACACACAGCCTGAGTCTCTGAACAGCCTGGGGGGTGGGTGGGGGCAGGAATTATTGCGGATGAGTGAGCCAGTGGCCAGAGGGAGCACAGAAACTGTGGCCATGAAATTTCCCTGGATCCACTGAGCCCAAAGCTCTTTGTCAGTCACAAAGCTTCTGTGCGGTGATCTGAGTTTTAACTCCAGATTGTGATTATCATAAACGTGGTTTTGGACTTAATTTTTCTTTCTTTTTTTTTTTATCACATCCACAAGAAGGAGATTATGGGAACATCCTGTAATGTGGCAGTTTGCTTGGGAAGCGTTTCCATTTCTGGCATTCTCAATGTGTGAGTCCACCAAACACATACATTCCAGACCCCCTGACTTGGCACCACAGCGGGCAGCCTCTGAATCTGCTTGTGTAACAAGCATTCCTGGTGATGCCTGGGAATTTTGTTCTCTGTGTAGCAAGTGGATAACTTGTATTACTCTCTGCGAGTGAAGAGGCTGGCTTGTTTGGAAGCTCCAGTTGTGGGGCGCCTGGGTGGTTCCATTCGTTAAGTGTCTGACTCTTGATTTTGGCTCAGGTCATGATCTCAGGGTCGTGAGATAAGGCCCTGCATTGGACTCTGAGCTCATTGCAGAGTGTTGCCTGTCCGTCTCCCTTTGCTCCTTCTCCAGCTCTTTCTCTCTCTCTCTCTCTCAAATAAATAGATAAAAATAAAATCTTAAAGCTCGAGTTCTGGAGCTGAGGAGGGGTGATATGGGAAGGGCAGAATATTGTCCCTAGCACCTCCACCTTTCGTGGGGAACTCTTTTCAATCTTTATCTGTCCCAACTCATCTCCGAAAAATGGTGGGTGAGGTGGAGACCCACCCCCCCCACATTCATCCAATGTGCCCAATATGTGTCAGGTGCTTGGGATATAAGGAAAATAAGGCAGTCCTTGACTTTGAGGGGACTAACTTTCATTTAGAGAGTAGCAGATGTGTAAGGAGAGCTGGAAGTGATAGCAAGTAATTTCACAAACATTTAAGGTGAAGATGAAAAGGAGATTTTTTTTTTAAAAAAGGAAATTAAACAAAAAACTATCACAGGTCATGCAGAGGAGCTTTGCACCAAGAGCAGAAGATGTGTATATTTTTATATTATGTAATTCTTCAAAGCACAGAGTTCTCTGAGTTTTAGCACTTGCTTGGAGATTAGTCCTTGTGTTACTTTGTAGTGGAATCCTTACTTGTCCATGAGTCACAATCCAGCCGGTTGATGGTCACAGAAACCAGAGCATTCGTGATCATGTCTAACCATTACCACAAGGTACTCTGAGCTTTTCACTTTGACACAGGATTAGCAAATTATGATTTCAAGGTCAATTTTCATGGAAAACTCTAAGGGAGAGCACCCAAAATGGGTTTCCCCTATAACTGCTAGTTCCAACGAGCTGGAAAGGCTGTTGATTTACAGACTGTATCTTCCTTCACAAGAAGTCTGTGGTTTCAGTATTTCCTGATGATTTGCATTTAATAAATAGCATTCATCCACAGTGAGAGTCCAACCAAGCACTCAGCTGAGTGACAGACTTTACTGAGTAGCACTTCACATTTGAACAGATCGACTTAGATGCGACTTGACCACAGCGTGTTTCAGGAGGGGAAACACAATGCTGGTTAGGACCTCCTTGCAGTTCTCACAACCCGGTGCTGGGCGGTGCTGTCCAGCAGGACTTTCTGTGATGAGAGCAATGCTCTATACCTGTTGGAATCGGGCACTTTCTTGAAATGTGACGAGTGCGACTGAGGAGTTGAGTATTTAATTGCTTATCATTTTGATTCATTTAATTCGAATTTAGATAACTGCATGAAGCGTGCTGGACAGCTCTGGCTAAGACAGGACTGCCCTACTCAAAATGGCTTTCTCTTCTCCCTTCCTTCCTGCCCCGTTCCCTGTCACTCCCCGCTGGCAGCTGCCTGTCCATTCTTTCTCCAACTCCATGGCTACTGCACACAGCAAGAGGGCAAAGTGGACCTTAAAGAAGGTGGCTCCCGAAGAGCCATGGGAAACAGCAATCAGCTGATGAGAGAAGCGTTCTGTATGTGGGGTCTAGGTGGGCTGGGGCTGAAAGGCTTATAGGATACTCCTTTAGATGTGACACCTCTACAGCTTGTCCTCATTTCTTTTGGACTCTGGATCCCTGAAGGGTGGGGACACGGAAAGGAGAACCAAACACAAGTCTTGCAGTCTTCGTCCAGCAGTAGCTGCTCAGTAAGGATTCCATGGCTAAATAAAGGATACTGGAGTGTGGTAATTTCTGCTTCAACCTGGGAGCTGTCTCCCCTTGCCATCTACCCTCCCTGAAGGACTGGTAGAGGCACTAACCAATGGACACGGGACTGTGGTGCTCAGTGGTATTTATTGGCAGCACTAAGTATGTAATGGAAGATCCTGTAGAGAACTGAGTATCTGAGCACGCTCAAGGGAAGTTGGCCTATGACACCCACCTGTAGTGGGCCACATAGTTATATTATTGGAAAACAAAATCTGACTTACAGAGTAGCAGAATGAGTGGTTACGTATTCTAGACAGTGGCAAGCACCAGTAAATTAATTTTTTTTCTCTCCTTTCAACCTTATAGGCAGCATTGATAAAGCAGGGACACCCTTGCCTACCTGGGCCATAGCTCTGCTTGCAGTGTCCCTGTCACTGCTTTTCATTCTGATAATTGTTCTGATTATAATATTCTGCTGTTGCTGTGTCTCCTCAAGACAAGAGAAAAAAGGTAATTTTTTTGTTCATATAAATTTGTGTATATTTTTCAACTTTTGGTACAAGCACTTGAAATCCATTAGCTCCTCAGCAATTTCATAAGATGCATTGACCTTGAGAGCGTCCTTCACTTGGAAGTGGACATTTGAGCTTCAGAGAATGAAAGGACTTCCTGAAAAGGGGCCTGGTGTAACCCCTCCGGGGAAGACCTAGATCTTCACACTTTTGGGAAGGTGAAGAGACAGCACCTTTCTGAGCAAAGACACCGACTACTTGAATTTTGTGCTTATTTTCGAGGATGTAAGGGCATTATAATCTGCCATTCAGGTGCTATGCTTTTTTCCCTATCTGAGCACATTAAAAGATTATTTCCTATTTTGTGTAATTCCAAATTGCCTTTTGTAGGCAAATGTTGTAGCGGTAGGAAGAAAAAGAAGGTCTTCTGTCAAGTTAAAATAATACAGATAAAATTAACAAAGGTAATTATGCATCTCTTCTGAATGAGGTCTTTTGTGGTACTCAAAAGCAGTGACCTTGTTTGGGGGTCAGGCTTGAATTCGAGGTTGGGGTGGGCTTGTCGTAGAATTCAGCTGTCTGTGACTCCAGAAACCACAGGATCTTTTTATGTGGATGTCTTAGGACTTTCCAAGTGCTGAATGTATGTCCAGCCTTACCTTTCTTTGTCTCGTAAAAGCTTACCTATATGCCTATTTGAATATTTTCTACAGTTAAGGTATTTTTCTTAAAATCAGACTTCTGATATGAGACTATGTGTCAGTTCAATTGCATTAAAAATTTTATTAATGCTAATTGCCATTCGATGAGCACTTTTTGTGGCTGTCAGTCACCGTGTTAATTACCTTACATGGAATGCCTCTGTTACTGAGATATTCTGTGTAAAGTGCATAGTTACGCTGTATCTAGGCTAATTGTCTAGCCCGAACCCATGCATGGATTTGGGTTGGGATTGGGAATTAATTCTGTCATACGACTTTATTCCCTAGGAAACAGAGCATGCAAAGTAGTAAGCCTCTGTTGGCCCAGATTTGATGGAATTTGCTTTTACCTGGGAGTTACCCTATACACCACAGATGGATTACTCAAATAAAATACACTGGATTTTAAGTGAAAACTATGGATAACTTAAATTTTAATTGGGAAGTGACTAGGATTATTCTGTGCCTTCACTTTATTATTTTCAACATCAGCTGCTGTGGTGTTGAGGACTTTCTGGTTGTTTGGACTTCTGCTTCTCTTCAGCTGTTTTTTGTCTGTTCCACAACAGCCTCATAAGACGGTTGTGAGGGTTGGTAGCCCACGTTAAGATGTGCACCAGGGTGACTCTGATTCTTAGCATCCTCATTTACAAGCTGGGAATAAGTACCGTCCTATAGACTGGTTGTGAGGATAAAATAAAATGGTGTATGAAACTGTTTGTACCCTAGATTTTATCCCTTATTTAACATTGAGATGAAAAGCTCATATAAGAGTGAGCTGTTTTTATTGCCCTTGTTCATAACAAGTCTAGGTAAGGGCTATGGACAGCGCCTAAGGCAGCCTACTTACAAAGTCCATTGCATTGGGTAGAATTCACAGTGGACACTACACTTCCCCTTGACATAAATGTAAAGGATCAGGGAGGTCTGGATTTCCCCATAATTATCTCTATTCTTGAAAACAACAAACATCAGTTTTCTTCAGAAGTATTTTCTGGCACATTGCTTTGCCAGTGCCTGGGAATTCTCAGTGCTCTGGCTGGTTAACTGGGGACTGGCTGAGGAGGGGTGAGGACCCCCACTCAGTGTGGTCTGAAGGCCTTGGGATTGCTTCTGCTAATAGAGCAGAGAAACCGAGAGCCATCTCCTGGAGCGCGTTCCTTATGGGAATGTTAGTGACATTTCAGACTGTCATTCTCTTTCATTTCAAATAAGATTGCTTCTTAGGTCCATTTTGGGGTGTGAATTGGCAAACGTTATTTCAACTGGAAGTAAGTGAGAACATACCTAAAAATGAGGAAAATGAATTCTTTTTTAGATTTCAGTAAATCTTGATGAATAGAAGGTCTAGACAGGAAAGCAGAGTTGCAAAGAACATTGGCTTTTGAGACAGATGATTGGGGACTGGTGTGTGGTTATCTTACTCCCTATTTCCAGGTTTTATGTCCCCTCCAGTCCAAGAATCCATTGATTAAAAACATTAGTAATTTAATGACAGCTTTTAGGGGTGGATGCAACTCCGTGCATTAATACCATTACTACATACTGATTGAAAATGTATCTTAGAATTAAGGAAGTATGGTGCTTATACAATGTAATTCCTTATTTGTTATAGTATGGTAATAAAATATAATAGCTTCTAGTTTGTTAAAAATATGACCTTGCTAACACCTACCTCTTGTGTTGTAAAGATAAAAATGAAATAATCTCTTTCAGAGTGCTGGCACACAGTGAGTACTGAGTGAGTACTGAACGAATGGCAGTAGGTACTGGGAATGCAGAATGCCTCTTCCCAGTGAATGGAGTCTTTGTATCTCCCTAAACAACTCAATATTCATTAAGTACTTATTAGGTACCCACTATACTTCAGGTGCAGTAGTTATGATATGATAGTTAATAGTGAATTCTATTTTCCTTATGTTTGAAAGTCATTTGGTAATTTGGCATTGGGGAATTTACTTTTATTTACTCTAATGGGTCACAAATTTACTCTAATGGGTCACAAGTACTCAGCAATGTATTTAAAGTCAGGGAGTTATTTTCAGAATAGCTATCCTGATTTTGCTAATGTGACTTCTGTCCCCCTCCCCTTTTTTGCAGAGTCTAGTTATCAAAGTGAAATAAGGTAAGTTTGAAATCACATCAATTTTCTGAAAACGAAAGCGAACAACTGAAAAATAACCAAACAACACCAACCCTACTAACACTAACATATGCAACTGTGGGATTTCAGGATTATGTTACTCAAAATTAAATACCAAAAATGGACAATTCTGAAAAACATGTATGCCAAACACAAACTCATATGGCAAAATTAACTGTAGAATAAAATAAGGGATGGAGCTACTGCCTACATCTGACTTGCTCTAGCTCACTTAGGAAAACAGATTTTCTGCTTGGTGTCTGACATTTGCAACTCTTTCCACAAGAGGACACTATGCACCGAGACTGTTGTCCCTCCTGTTCTGAGTCAACGCAGGGGACTTGAGGACCATTTCAAGGGTAAAGAACAAGGCAGAGGCCCTGCTGGAATTTCTGGGACCGTGGAGAGCAGTGAGGCCAGCTGGATGTCTTCAGGCGCATGAAACTGAACAGGCAGACAAATTAGGTAGTGTTCGCTGCTTGTGCAACTAATGTGGGAGGGGACAGAAAAACCCCTGGCATTCCCATGGCCATCCTGAAATGGCTGCAAGTACTTTTAAGGAAGCTGTGTCAAGGACCTACAATAATACAATAACCAGTTTAAATGTCTCAATATTTACACAAGTATAAACATAGTAAGGGGAGGGATTTTTAGACAGAGCTCATTTTGCTGGGGGTGTTATAATAAAACCGTGGCTAATTTTCAGTATTTCATTAGATACTTTTAGTTTTTGAAATGCTGAGATTTTAAAACACCTTTCGGTTATCCATGGTGAATGAAGATGTGTATAGTCATTGTGTAACAGACACTAGCCATACTCCCTTTGACCCCAGTTGCTTACTGGTGATGATGTAGTGCTGGGAGAGCTGGCTGGGGTCTCTCTCAGGACGCTCAAAGCAGCAGTCTGAAACCACCTCCTCTGGAGCTTGACTTGGGGCAAGAGGAGAGGACGGAAAATGGACTCCAGTAATTATTCAGCATTTCTCTTGATGGCTGTCTCTAGCAGGGTGGCGGCCTGGATTCTTCCTTTCACCATTATTGACTTTGTAGTATTTTTTATCTCTATTCTCTGGGATCTTAGATGATTTCAAGACATAGAACAGTGGTCAACAGCTATTTGGGGTCACGGATAGAGGATAAGGAGAATAATGACAACAGCAGCAATAATACGACAGTGGGGATGACAATCTCTAGTATATGCTGAGTGCTGAACGTATGTTAGGTCCAGGGAGGAGAGACAGGGTGACTCACTGGGACCCCCATGTCCCACCTGGCTTCCCTGCACTGTGCAAACTCCAGCTGCTCCCAGGCTCCTTCTGCAGTAAAATAATGCACACATTCCTTCCTATAGAACCAATGCATGTTTATTATAGAAAAAATTAAAAATTTACTTTTAGGAAGTGATTTTGAGGGGCCCTGGGGGTACAGTCAGTTGAACATCCAACTCTTGATTTCTGCTGGGTCGTGATCTCAGGGACGTGAGACTGAGCCCTTCATGGGGCTCCGTGCCCAACGCGGAGTCTGTTTGAGACCTTCTCTCCCTCTCCCTCTGCAACTCCCCCCATAAAATAAATGAATAAATCTTTAAAAATATAGAAATGATTTTGAAATCACCTCTAATTCTACTGTTCGGAATCAGGTATTGTTAAATAAGTATGTACCTGCTCTCACACACACGTGCTCACATAGGTACACGCACATATGTGTTTTGTGAAATTTGGATCAGCATAAATCTAATTTCCTAACTTGCTTGTCTTACTTGGCACTATTCTGAAGATTATTTCTGTTAATAAATTTCTGTAATAAATACATTTCTGTTAATAAATGGTAAAAATAAATTTCTGCTTAATAAAAATATCTTACTGAAATATGAGTTCAGGGATACAAATTGTAGGTGTGTAGCTCGATTACTTTTCACAAAGCATATGGGCCTTGAGTGGGGACACGCAGAACTAGAGTACCGCCAACACTCCAAACTCCCCATGCCCCTCAAATCATTGTCTGACCCTTCCTCAAAGGTCATGTCTTTTTTTTTTTTTTTTTTAAAGAGAGGGAGAGTGAGAGAGAGGGGGCCAAGGAGGGACAGAGAGAACCTTAAGCAGACTCCACACCCAGTGCAGAGCCCAACACTGGGCTGGATCTCACAACCCTGATTGCAAATCAAGAGTCAGACATCCAGGCATCCCAAAGGTTATGTCTTCTGACCTCTATGCCCACATCCCCCGAGATTAGGTTCATATGAACTTTATGTAAATGGAATCATATTGTGTATACTCATTCATTTTGGTTTTCTTAAGCATCACACTGTGAGATTGGTCCATATTGTTCAGTGAAGAGGTAGATGATTTACTATTATATAATAGCAGACTGTGGGTATATATGCAATTTATTTTTCCTTTATGCGGGCATTTGGATAGTTTTTGGAGTTATTATGAATTCTGTGGCACTAAACAGTTATGGATCTTTGGTGACTTGCTCATTAGTACTCCTTTCTGTGTTGTACCCAGGTGGGTGCAGGTGTACCAGTGAGAGCTGGGTAGGTGGAATCAATACCCCACAGTTTTCTAAAGTGGGTGTGCCAGTGTATACTTTCACCACAGTGCGTGAGAGCTCTCATCTGTAATAAATTTTACAGGTGGCATGGAGTTTCATTTTAGAGATGTATTGTCATTTATTTCACTAGTCCTCTATGGTGGGGCACCTGTGTCATTTGCAGTTTTTGCTATTACAATAGCTCATTAATGAATATTCTTTCATACCTGGTTATTTCCCAAGACGTCCTCAGTGGTCAAGCATGAATATCTTTAACTCTTTGGATTTCCACTGCCAAGTTTTCTTCCCCTGGGAAGTTGCCCAAATTTTTACTTTATTTCAGAGATTGGCATATGTTCTCTATAAAGGGCCAGATTGTAAATATTTTGCTTTTGCAGGCCGCATGCTCTCTATCACAGTTACTCAGTTTTGGTGTGGTACCATGCAGACAGCCATAAATAATATGGAAGCAGACAGGTGTGGCTGTGTTCCAGTGAAACTTTACTTACAGGAGGAGGTGGATTGGCCCTATGGGTCGCAGTTTGCCAACCCTGCTTAATTTGGTCACTGGCTTCTGGGGGTTGGTTGTGGATGGGGGAATGGAGTCCATGGGCGTATTTCTGTCCACCTCAATGGGAGCGTGAGCAGGCAGACCACCTACACAGTCGTGCTGGTGCCTATGAGTTTCCATCCCGATGCTGTGGTTTAACATGCAAGAGTGCTCTGGGTGGACCAGAGTGAACCCAACATCCATGGCTGGTTAACATTCGGTTTTTTAAAAATAAGTAACAAATTAAGTAAAATTAATTAATTAAATTAAAATTTAAATTAATTAAAATAAAATTAAGTAATAAAATAAAATGGTCTAATTCCAGAAAATCCTCAAGTGTGAAGACAAAGAAAGAAAGTTTGGAGACAAATGTAAAAAGTGGGAGTGAAAACAGTGTCTACAGCCTAGTTGAGCCCAGGATGGCAAGTGAGTGGGTGGGTGGGGCTGTGGGAAGACCTGAAGGGGAGTGTGGGGGAGGGGCTTGCTGACCCTGACCAGGGGCCAGCTGCACAAGGCAGGGGACTCAGCCCTTGCTGGTCATTATTTTTTGAGTAATTTTCAGAAGAAGGAGAAATTTCAGGGCTGGAAGTATTCTAGAATATAGAAATATTCTATAAAAAGTAAAAATCTACCTATTTCTCCAAAGTTTAAAATAGAGTGGGATGAAAATTTAAGGGCTTTAGAATAAATTTTCTGTTTTTTTTTTTTTTTTTTAATGCTTTCTCTTTCATTAAAGCCTTCTAGCTTTAGAGAAGCGTTTGAGGAGGGATTTTAATATATTGAGGATCTCTTTCCCAAAATGTCAGATAAAACCGAAACTCAGCGAGAAAGCTGTTCCGACTGAGCTTTGGACTGTGTGCACTGTTGAAGAACAAAACCCAATTTCAAAAAGTCTTTGTAGCTCCCTTTGGAGGACAGAGTCCTCGAAGGGACATCTCGGAAGGCTTGGCCACTGGGAGGCAGCAGGGATCTGGTTTGATCTGAGATCCTCCTGGAAGGTAGATGAGAGAGGGGATGAGCGTGAATGGTTCATAGAGGGAGACCCTAACAAGTTGCCTGGCAGAACAAATTCCTTGGAGAGATGTTTCATTAATCAGTTCTTGCTGAGAGCCCCCCCACCCCTCCTGCAGATTGTTTTCAGTAAGACTGGGGCCGCCCTCCCAGCCCGTTTCCCCCCTTCACCATGGCGGCCTCCCACGTCCATTCCAAATGGCTCACTTCAGATTCTTAAAAAGTCCACGAAGCATGACTGTGTCCTTTCATATTCTGATCACAGCTTACAAAATTTCCTGGGGGCGAATATTTATTTATTAGTGTTTTGAGCAATTAATCAAGTAGTTTGGCCAAAATCTAGGCCCAAACCAAACCTCTCTGTCTTTTTGTCCTCTTGTGTCGTGTGTTTATTTTCCTTGATCAGCATTAAAGCCACGGCTTCACCTTGTCTCTGGATGAGACTGAGTCAAGGAAGGACTGGATTGTGAGTTTTCCATGTTTTTATTTCATTAGAAGAGTAAGATTTGAAAGTATATAGCCTCAAGGAAACTCTAAAAACAAGTCTGTTTATGGTTAAGGATTGCTTTATGCTTGGGTTACTGTATAAAAGCAAACGTGTTTTCTTGTAAATCAGAATTGCTGGACTATTATTTGGGTTTTGTTACTTATCACTCTAAAATCACTCTTCCATTGCAGAACTTGCTTCTCTCACTCGAGAGTCCTCTGAATCCAGTGTTTGGGAACAACAAGGAACTAGACAACCTTATCAGGTGACTCAGATCATTTTCCCCATTTTGAGATTTTTTTTGTTTTTTTTTGCCATTTAAAAACCGTTGCCTGGTGGTAGGTGATTATAAAATGGTGCTTGTTTTATGTGCATGATGGAGGAACTTGGCCTGTGCTCACTGGTTAACCCGTCAGCATGGAGGACGTACAAATCTCTTGCACAAAAGTGTAGGTGGGGGCTTGTAGACCTTGGGGTATCTCTTACATGCCCACCTAGAGATGCTGAGCGGGCGGTTAGATGTACAGGTCTGGAGCTCCAGGGGAGGAATGCTAGTTGTAGATACTGTTGGTTGTTAGATGAACTCTGATGGGCCCCTTCTTTCCAAAGAACATGAAGAACACAGTCACCCAGGAACTGCGAGGACATGGTACGTTATTTTTCTGACACGGAGTCAGTGTTGGTTGCCACAGATGAGTGAACTGGAGTGCATACACAGAAAATACAATTCTTCGTATCCACAGTCATATTAGGCAAAATACGCATTTTCTGACCTGCACAAAGTCACCTTCAAATGAGAAGCACTTTGATGTGACTCTGCAACGCTGCCCGTCATAGGCATGGGTATTCTCCTCTTTAGCTTTTAGAAAAGGCAGATTTGCAGATTGGGCTCCTGAAGCAAGTGAGTTCCCGAGGTCTTGGCTGTGTTCTGCCTACAAATCGCCATCGGTCTGAAGTGCTGCTGCTGGGAGTGCCTTCTCAGATCCATCATTCTCTCTTGGGCTAGATATTGACTTGGGTTTCTGGGCCACTCCAGGCCGTAATACTCCTCCCTGCAGTTGGGATTCAGCTTATCTTATCCATATATCTTGCCAGTGACATGTGCCTTCTAGGCCTTTGTGGGGGGCGGTGAGCTTTGATTGATGCTCAGCTGTGTATTGGGAGGACCTAAGTGATGTCACTACTGGAAAACCAGTGGTAGCCAGATGGAAAGACATATGAGGATCTATGGCACCAAAGAACATTGGCCCAAGTGACAGATTGTTGGGGACAAGT